AAGAGGTTAAGTGACCTGCCCAAGGTCACAAGCTATTGAATTGTGAAATTAAATAAAGAATCCAGTCTCTCTAATTCCACAGATTGCTTCCCATTAACCTAGATAGCTGCCTGTCCTGACTCCACAGATAGCTCACTTCCCATTAACCTAGATAGCTGCCTGGAGTCCATGAAGTCCACAGAGTACAGGAGGCAGGAGTCTGCTGTCAGCACTCAGGGCAGACTGAGGGACCATGGTTGTAAATTACCTAAAATTGACCAGACTCCCGGGGTTGGTGAGGAAGTGGCATAGGTCTCTAAGTGCAATCACACAGCTTTTCACTAGGAACCATGGAGGACTTTTGGGAACTCTAATTTGTTAATTTGTCTAATTCACTCTACAGCCAAGAATAAGGTTACCATCATTCTTAAATAGCATAAGTCTATTTAAGCGAGAAGCTAAGAGATATGCTCTTGATACCCAAAGACCCCTCAGGCTCTACCCACCATATTCTGGACAAATATCCAGTCTGGATGAGTCTTTATATTTACGTATAGATATAAAGATACAGTGATTGGATTTTAGAAGTATTCTTAGACCAAGAGTTCTGGGAATATGGCATTTTCAGACCAACCTCCATGGTGTTTGCAGCATCTCCTTCCTTCAATAGAAAGTACTAAATAGAAAGAGAGCAAAAGGTAAAAATGGGAGAAGAGGGATATCTGCAGCCTCTTTGGCACGATAATTACAAGGCTTATTGGCTTATGAGCTTGATAGCATTAGCTGATCATCCACTGGGGACAGAGGTAGTTGCCATACAGAACGGGCTTATTCCTGGATAGCCTCTCTTATCCTCTTAACATTTTGTGTATGCAACTGCAAGACCCAGGAGGCTGGGCCAGCAGAACTATCACTCTATTCTGGTTCTTGTTAACTAAGATGATGAGATTTGTCCTTCCTAAAATAACATGTATGTAGGTTTGAAAAGTTGAGAAATTATAGCTCTCCATCTCACTAGAAATATCATCTCCTTATAGTCCCCACATAAATAAAACTTGCAAGACATGCACATAGAGAAAATAATTAAAACCAGAACCTCAACAAAAATAAATCAAGTGTTTCAAGTCAAATGTGCTCGTTTCTCCGTAAGTGAGACTTAAATACAACTGTCTCCTAATGCAGCAAGCATGGCCACGTATGACGCGTGCAAAACCAACTCTGTTGGCAAACAGGACTAATTTCCACGCGTTGTCTTCACACTTTTGTGCAACAGTTTGGGCACGGCAAGGATGTAAACTTCAGACGGCTGGCTGCCTCCTCCGTGCACCCTGAGTTCCTGATTGACTTCGGGCATCAAGCAGAAGAAACCTGTTCCTACCTAAGAGAGCGAAATCGCCACCCCACTCTCAGACTGTATAAAGAAGGAGGGGTTTAATTTAAAAGTTGATGACCTACTAGACAGGCATTGTGAAAGTTTCTGGGGTGCCAAGATGAAAAGGACACACTCACTGTTTTAAAGGAGCTCACAGTCTACTGGGGGAGTTGAACAAATAAAAACCAATCATGTGGGAGAAAAGGTACAGAGGTGTCCAGTAGGTACCCTGCTGGTGGGGCACTCAGGCCATCTGCAAGTCATCAACTATCTGTTCCTGTTCATATTCTTCATGCAGGATTACACAGATTCCATAAGGCATAAACTAAGTCTTTTATTTCTGTATCTTCCTCAACTCTAAATAGTGCTGTTCTTGGCAGGCACATTGGATTCTCAAATAAAAAATTAAAGTCTTCATATACTTACACAAGACCCTGTTAATAGTAGACCACCAGACACCAGTCACCAGACACTATTTTAAGTGAGTTACCTATACTAACTTATTTAATGCTCACATCAATCGCATAAAGTTTACTATGGTTCATTATATTATTTTTGACAATATTTGCTGTCCTTTCCTATCAGCCTCTTCCTAACAGGTCTACCCTTTCAGGAGGGTCGTATTTCCTGCCTCTTATGTCAGATATTTTGCATGATTTGCTTCACAGCCAAGAAAATGTGAGCAGAAATAGCGTGAACCACTTAGGTCTGAGAGCTACCACATGGCCCTGCTAGCTCCCTTCCGTTGGCCATAAATCCAGGATGTGACAAATTAGAGCTCTGTCTTCAGGCAGGGTCCAGAAATGAAGAGGCATGGAAAAGCACTGCAGCAGAACTAGGATGAATATTAATGCCAGTGGGAAATAAAGCTCTGCTCATTTAAGTCACTAGGATTCCAGGGAGGCATCTGTTACTGCAGCGTAACTGAGCAGAGCTAACTAACTAACACATGGATCCCATTACAAATACATTTTACCCTTGAGAAAACTGCCACAGAAGGAAGTTCAGTCAATTGCCTAATGTCACATAACCTAATTGCTGGGAACGAAACCCAGACAGCCTCGTTCCATGTCGTCCTTAACTACTACACTAAACAGCCTCCATTAGCTAAGAGATGCATGGCAGATAGCTAAGAGATGCAAAGACTAATCCTCATAGTGAAATATTTTCCACAGGCCCTACAGGATAAAGAATACAAAACAATTTTAAAAAATACATACAATGGATATGGCTTTACTTTCAAAGTGCACAAAAAATGAATTAAAGCAGAGAAAAAAACAAGATCAGATAAAATCAGGTAAGAAAGAAACATATACCAAAAACGATGAGAGAAAACAGATTAAGAGAAATTTTAACATTTGTCAAACTGCTCAGAGACAAACGCCTCTCCTGGAAAAAATAAAATCCTTCATATTTTTATCTTTAAAATGCTGCCAGAATGCAAAACATGTGAAAGTGTTTAGACGCATGTCGTTTGGAAGCAATCTGGTTATTTTTGTAGTTAATAAAATAAAGACTTCTGTTTGTGATACGTACAGGATGGGAAATAACACACTTCACCCAGGGGGATGTCATTCATATATATAAAATAGTTCTGTCATTTTAACTTTCAGATTTTTCAGAGCTGTTAAAGCCTACTCTAGGCTAGTGGTTCTCACATTAAAAACTACATGAGAAACAACCGAATGATGTTAATAGTTTCAATTTCAGGGCTCTAGTCTCAGTATTTCTGAGTCAGAAGATCTGGGATAGATTCTATGAAATGGCATTTTAACAAGATTCCTGATATTCGTGATGCAGGTGGTATTATTTTCTTAGGGATGCCGTAGCAAATTATCACACATCTAGTGGCTTATATCAAAAATATGTTCTCTTTCAGTTCTGGTCAGAAGTCTAAAATCAAGGTGTGAACAGGTCCTAAAGGCTACAGGGGAGAATCATTTTTGCCCCTTCCTAGTTTCTGGGGAGTTCCTGCAATCCTTGATATTCCTTAGAAGCATAACTTCAGTCTCTGTCTCTGTCTTCACATGGCCTTCTTCTGTGTGCACTCTCTTCTGATAAGGACACCATCATAGGAACCAGGGATGACCATAATCCAGTAGGACCTCATCTTAACAACTGCATGTGTGAAGACCCTATTTACAAATGAGGTCACAATTCCTACGTTCCGAGTAGACACTGAATTTTTAGGAAACAATAGTTAACCCACTATACAGGTGTTTCTCAGACCACCTTTCTGAGAACAATAAAGAACAATCCTTCATTTTACTAAAGAAAATCCTGGCTGGGTGTGGTGGCTCATGCCTGTAATCCCAGCACTTTGGGAGGCCGAGGTGGGCAGATCACCTGAGTGTGGGAGTTCAAGACTAGCCTGACCAACATGGAAAAATCCCATCTCTGCTAAAAATACAAAATTAGCTGGATGTGATGGCGCATGCCTATAATCCCAGCTACTCGAGAGGCTGAGGCAGGAGAATCGCTTATACCCAGGAGGCAGAGGGTGAATTGCTTGAACCCAGGAGGCAGAGAGTGAATCTCTTGAACCCAGGATGTAGTGAGACAAGATCGTACCATTGCACTTCAGCCTGGGCACCAAGAGCAAAACAACCCTGTCTCAAAAAAAAAAAAAAAAAAAAAAAAAAAGCCCTGAATCCTTGCACCTAGGGGAAGGAATTTCCCATTTCCCATGACCACATAAATACTACCCAGATCTGACTCCCAATCCAGTGCTCTCTGCACTGTAAACTTGTGCCTGTAGTTCTACTGGTGGCTTGAGTTTTTGTAGCCAGAAGTGAAAATATCATTTAGTCTGCATCCCAAAAGAAATTAAGTGAAGAACTGCATCAGGCTCCACTCCATTAGGAAATTCAGTTTCCTAAGGTTGATGCTTCTGAAATTCCAGAGATGTGACCAATCTTTATTCTTCTTCAGTTAGCTCCGTTTCCCTCCTAACCCATCCTGTAACTCACAGGGAAACTGAAACGTCTCTGTCACCACCTGCCATCCTCTCAGCCTTCCACAACCCGTCAGCATCCCTCATGGTTTATTTCATGCTGCTGTAAACTAATTCTTCAGTTATCCACATCCCCAAACAGATTGGAGGCACCTAGAAAACCAGGTCTAAAATGTCCACATCTGTATTGATACACTCAGATGTTTGCTTAGTAAATAAATAAAATCTCTTCTTTATAAGCTTAACCCAAAGTTTTGCTTCTGTTAGTAGAGTAAGAACCAAGAACCCTTGCCACCTTGTCCAAGGCTAAACTCTACTCTGACTCCACTTTCCATCCTTTTTCCATCATATATATACATGTATGTGTGTGTGTGTGTGTGTGTGTATATATATATATTTTTTTTTTTTTTGACGGAGTCTCACTCTGTCGCCCAGGCTGGAATGAATGCAGTGGCGCAATCTTGTGATCTTGGCCTCCCAGGTTCAAGTGGTTCTCCTGCCTCGGCCTCCCAAGTAACTGGAACTACAACTACAGGCACATGCCACCAGGCCCGGCTAATTTTTTGTATTTTTCCTAGAGACAGGTTTCACTGTGTAAGCCAGGTGGTCTGAATCTGCTGACATCGTGATCCACCTGCCTCGGCCTCCCAAAGTGCTGGGATTACAAGTGTGAGCCACTAAGCCCGGTGGAGATACTTTTTTTTTTAGCAGTGATCTTGCTTCTTTTCTTCAGGCTTTTCCTGTTAGCTTTCTTTAGGCACCTTCAAATTTCACCCGACTCACTGAACCCCTCCTCAGGACCCTGCCTCTTTCCCTTGCTTTCTCCCTTCATCTTGACACTTTAGAGTGTCCTACCAGGGTGGTCCTCCCCCCACCCAGACTTCAAAGAATCCCCTCATTACTGCTGCTGAGCCCAGGTTCCTCTGCCCTCCCAGCCCTCCCCACCAACCTTTTAGCAGCTAGTTATTTTCCCTGCTGTTCTAGTTGGTTAATAATCTGCAAATCGCCAGGCATAAGGAACTTTTTTCAGTCTCTTTATCACCATGAAGCTTGAGCAACCACTCCCATCTTCAGTGTCTCATGGCTGTCTCACGGTTTTCCCACATGTATGAACTTTCATGAGCAACCTCTCCTCACTGCCTCTTCCCCTGTCTACCACTTAATTCTGGGGTTCCCCAAAGTTCCAGCATCTCATTTCCTTCTCTACACATCGGTTGCTCCCTGAACTATCATCATATGACTTCAATTTAATTTTTGATTTGTCTTTCTTTCTTTCCTCAGCTCTGTTTTTCTATTTCAAATTTCTTCTAGGGTATCTCTCAGACATCTCCTATTTTCCCAGCCCTCCCTCTCTTCCAATCTCTCTCTTAAGGTCATCCGCTCAGAATATTAAATTTTTTTGTTTCTTTCCCTTTTTTAGCTGCCGTATAATCATTGCACCTCTTTACAGGGTAGGCAAAGATGTTTTGATACATATAATATATATTGATCAGATCAGGGTGATTAGCATATTCATCATCTCAAATATTCATCATTTATTTGTTTGGGGAGCATTTAATACGTAATATGTTCCTTCTAGGCATTTGTAACTGTATTTTATTGTTAACTATAATCATCCTGCAGCCCTGTAGAGCACTAGCACTTATGTTTTCTATCTAGCTGTAACTTTCTATCTTTTATCGAAATCTCTCCCTGCCCCCATTTCCCCCCTCCCCTTTCCAGCCTCTAGTATCCTCTGTTCTACGTTTTATTTCTATGAGGCCAACTTTTCTGTTCCTTTCTATATGTTCCTAGTACTAATCCCCCATTATGATATATTAGGCAAATTTTTAGGTCCCCACCCTACTTGAATAAATCATTTCAAATACATATTTCAATGAACTTTTTTATTTCTGTTTTTCCAAATCTTTCATTTCTGACACATGGGCTCTAGATGCTCTTCAGCTCTGAAACACTCACTGCAGCTCCCAAAGCTGAAGGTAAAGCCTCAGTGTCAAGATAGGAAGAGTTAAGAGTCAGACACAGGGCTTCTGAAGGTTATAGGTAAGACTAGGGTGAATCAAGACTGGACTTTGAAAGGCTGGTAAGAAGCAGGTTCGTGGAGAGGAAGAAAGGGAAGTACTTGGGAGGTTTGAAGGATGTATGGTGAATCCATACTTTAAGGGAAGAACTCTGTGGTCTATATTCCGTTAGGGTAACTCTTCTTACGTTGGCTCCAGAGCCTACACTGAGCTACTCTGCCATGTTGGCTCTTCACCACACTTTCCACTAAGATGACCTATCATCTCCAACCCAACATTGGTCTACTGTGGTCAGCACACAGTCTCACAGTTCTCTCTACTCTCTGGCCTAGAAGCAAGCTTTTTCAGATCTTCTAAGATTCTAAATGATGAGTCTTCTCTACACCCCTTGTGCTGATGGTGGTTCTTTTAAAATACAAGCACTGAAATAGGGTCCTTCCCACTTCAGAGGTTATCTGGACAATCCCAGAGATGGCACAGGGGTGCTAGAGAGAATGGCTGTGGAAGAACAGTGGAGATAATGAGGCATAAAGTCATTGCTATACTTTGTACTGGGGCTTAAGATTTAATCTTCAGAATACTGGGAAGTAAGCATTGTTATCCCATTTTACAGGATGACAGCAGAAAGAAAGAAGGATGTGAAGTTATCTTGGCCAAGGGTAAATAGCTAATAAGTAGAGCCAAAGCCAGACTTATCTGATTTATAAAACCTGCCTTCTGGATGGATGATGAATGTGAGTGATGGGTAGGACTCCAGATCAGACCTCCATAACCAGTGGTGCTTCTGAGGGAGGAGTGAAGGTTTGGGGAAAACAAACTTGTAGAATAAATAGAAGTGCTTCTTGAAACTGATTCTTAAGACTGGGTAAGAATGGAGGTGGCTGGCTGAGGCAGCAGGGGAATTTCAAGAAGCCCCATGAGTAAGGACAGGTGAATCCCTGCTGGTCCTAGATCATGCCACTGGAGGAGGGGACATTTGTATATGGGGATAGTTGATTATGCAGTGAGTTTATACTGACTGGGATCAGCCTGTAATGTCTGTGAGAATTCAGTGTTCCCCACTTCCCCCACTTAGATGCAGGGTGGGTCATCCTGGTCTCAATAACCTGACTTTCTACTTCTCATTGATTTTGAGGTGATGCTGGCTATGAACTCCCCAAGGCCAGGAATTGTGTCTATTCTTTTTTTCATAATTGAATCCAAGGCCTAGACATGGTAGTTACTTGACATGCATTTATATGAATGTATTTAAATGCAGCTTATGGACTTTAAAATTCAAATTGTGAATTGACCGCCATCCCCTAACACAGAAACAGGGAGAAAATGTGGTTATGCGGTTACTACAACTGATTATCCTGTTTGAGGCTACATATGCTCCTACTGAATCATAATCCTAGCTACCATTTATGCAGGGTTGTGGTCTGATCCAGTTTCCTTGGGACCAGTGGAAGACAAGTTTGAATTCACAGCTTGATACACTTTAGGTGCCCAACAGATCAGCACTGCTTGCTGCTATTAAAAACTTACAAAAGCATAGTTAAGTGATTTATAAAAATCTAGTAATAGGAGTATATGGTAGTTGGGGGAAAACATTCAAGGGAAGAAATGAAGGGAAAATATCCCATATAAACTGAATTTCTTTTTTTCTTTCTTTTTTTGAGACAAAGTTTCACTCACATTGCCCAGGCTGGAGTTCAATGGCACAATCTTGGCTCACTGCAACCTCCACCTCCCTGTTCCAGCAACTCTCCTGCCTTGGCCTCCCAAATAGCTGGTATTACAGGCATGCACTACCACGCCTCGATAATTGTTTGTATTTAGTAGAGACAGGGTTTCACCATGTTGCTCAGGCTGGTCTGGAACTCCTGACCTCAGGTGATCCACCCAACTCGGCCTCCTAAAGTGCCGGGATTACAGGAGTGAGTCACCATGCCCGCCTATAAACTGAATTTCTAAATGACAATTATAAAAGCCATTCTATTCAAGGAACAAATGTCTGCCAAATTGTTATACAGTAATATTTATTTGTTATTAAGTACTCATTAACTCAACAACTCATCAAATATTTACTGCTTATTTACAACACACAGGGCGTTGACTAGTGGCTGGAGATAAAAGGAAAAATATATTATGATCCCTGGATCAGAGTTACTTAGAGTCTAATGGAGTAGAAAGTGACATAAAAATGTAAGACATTGTTAAGTGCTTTAAAACTAGTATGCATTCTTTACATTATACCTCAGGAACACAGTAAAAGAGAGAAGATATTTGGGAGTGTATGTGTGCATGTACACATGCACATTTTGGTCTGAGTTTGGGGTTAGGTAGAGGTGTATAGATATCTATACCCTGTATAGATATTAAGAGAGCATGCAAGTTCAGTGAATGTTGAGTAGTTCCATGTGGCAGGGAAGTAGAGGGCATTTTTATGAAAGGTAGGGAATGAGTCTAAAAAGGTAGCCAGGAGGGGATTGTAAGAACCTGCTTATAAGAACCTGCTGTGCTGAAAACTTTATATTTTATCTTCTAGACGAAAAAGAACTCTTAAAATATCCTAAACAGGCTGTAATATGTGTTTGCTGCATTATTTAAGATTATTTGATTTTGTTATAGCAAGCAACAAAAAGTTGGATACAACTTATAGAACGGGTTAAAGTATACGGAGCACACTGGTCATCTCTGAGACCTGTGAGACATGCAGAAAACAAAGAGGGCACATGTGTGTTGAACATAGATAAAAAGGATGATACAAGAGAGTTACTTGCCCATGGAAAGGGATGAAAGTACAGAGTAAATCTTAAATATCTGTAAAGCTCAGACCATGTCTGGTTGACACCTGTCATCCTAAATTGGTCAACCCATTGGTGACACCCATTTTGGTCCTATCCTGGCCTCACATTTGCCCTGGTTGATACATAGAGATAAAACATGTATCTGGTCAGCAGGTTAATTGGCAAGTGATAGCTATGGCTAAACGTACTTGCCCTTGTGTCTCTCCAGTAGGGCAGTGGTGTAATAGTACCAGTGTTTCCAAGCTGTTGTATTCCCTTCTTAATCTCAACTCTAGCTGTTGTAACTACTTCATCAGCAGGGAAGGCTGATATGGCAGAGAGCGAACCAAGGAAGATGAACATTGTATAACCCAGGATTCAGATATGGTAGTCTTTCTATCCCACTTGCACACTCTCCAGTGCTCATTGACCCAATCTCTTTCCCCTTAATTTATGCTTAAAGTGTACTTTAAGTTGATTTAATAAATAATTTCTAATTTCACATCTTAGCTTAGTCTATGAAACTTTTCTTTCCATGACCTCTGGGGCAGCCCACTTGAATGTACTTGGAGTGTCAAGTTGATTTTCTGTATGCTGCTGGGAATGTCAGATTATGGTCTTAGAAAAATCACTCTGGAACTTTAAATATGATGTCTATATGGCTGGGGAGTGGATCTGGAAGTAGAGGGACCAATTCCTGACTTCCTCTTACAGCCAAAGATGTGCAACATATATTTCAAAAAGAAGGTTTACACAAGATTTAGAAGCTCCAAGCACACAGAAGAGAAAATGTCCTGAAGAACCAAATTCTTGATTGTTAAACTAAGATAAACTCAACTTTTAAAAGTTTACAAAGTTGGTGCAAAAACTGCCTAGAGGGAAAAAAAAATCCTAAAGTCAAATAAAAAAAGATTAAGATTTCGCCACATCCACGTAGGATTATCCAAACTTCCTGGTGCACTGATGGTGTCAGGAGAGTTTGCAGAGATAACAGCCCACCATGATTACAACATAATTCTATAATCTCTCATGTGGCCCAATAGGGTGCCCATAAGACCGAAGCCAGCAAACTAAAAACACCAGGTAAAGGAAATAGCTGAACAATCAAGCAAATGCCTCACAATAAGTAGAGAGCCAGCAGGGTGTGAGAAAGGACATAGGATTTTGAGTGAGCCAGACATGGCTTCAAATTTCTGCTCCAGTAGGTCCTAGCGGTGTGACCTTGGACAGACACCTAAATATATCTCAGCCTCAGTCTCTCCAAGTAGCAAAATGGAAAGACTAATAGTCACTTTAATCAAGGGGATATGGTGAGGAATAAATGAGCTAACATAGAGAACGTGTCAAGCACGGGCTCTCCTCTTTTTCATCCTTTCCATATTTAATTCCGTGAGGATTAATAAATGAATGATTAGCAACTCATATCATGGCTATTCCAACAGCCTACCCAGATGCCAACAAGAATTACTTGTTTAAATGTAACTGTTTTCTCTGTTTCTGGCTTATACCAATGTTAAAGACATATTCCTTTAAGCAACTTAATGCTAGTAGGTTGCTAAGGTAACTTCCCTAGAAATAAGCAAGGCCAGCATTGGGTCACTTGTGTTTTACGCAGTCAGGTTTTTGAG